TATACAAGCAAAACATGCAGTCGTTGCGGATATATTAAGAGGAATTTGGGTGGAAGTAAAGTATTTAGGTGTGATAGAGTCTAAATGGGGCCCGGGGAATTTTTCTCCGGGCATTGCTTGATGGAGCCTTAGTTATGTAACATAGCTATGCCAATTAGTTGATTATAGTGACTATTTTGATCGATTCAATCCATCCGGGCAAAGTATGTAAATGATAAAAAAAGAAGTAATAATTAATAATAAAGCAAGGGGCTTTATTATTTGTCATAAAAAAACGATATGCGCTTTAAGCATCGACATGATTAAATTTATTCGATTTTGCTTATCGCACTCTCTCTAGGTTGCTTTGTGTGTGCAAGTGTTCATGTTTAAGCAGTAATTGTACTCCTACTTCTCAGAGCACTAGCGGTCTATCAGCAAACTCGCAGCGCAGAAATTCGCGCAGCGTATATGAACTTATTGTCGCGGCTGATGCTGAAACCATGATCTTTGGCTCGCTTGAACTGTGGGGAAAAAAGTATTAGTATTATTTGTTCGTAATGTTATGTTCGTGTAACAATATTATTACGATAAATCGGTTCAAGCGATTGGTGTCTCATTACGTTGTCGGCATGCGGAACATTTTTACGCGCGTTTGCAGAGAACCCTTGCGTTTTACATGCAAACAGTTCTTAAACTATAATGTACATATACGTCCTGCAATACCTGCAATTTCCACGCTGATAAGAAGCCATTCGTCAATAAGGTCACCATCTGAATTTGGTACTGTAAGAGTTGTATGTTTCTTCGGGCAACTTGATCTAATTCACATGTCGCTTTAAGCTAAAAAGATTCCGTTGCTTACTTTTCACGATAACCCTGTTTGTATGTTTTATCGCAATTCTACAGAGAAATGAAGATACATACTTAAATGAGCCCGGCTCGGCATACCATTCCCCATCCGACTCCACTGCAACCAAAACAGGTGTAACTTTGCCGCATACTCGCGCTGATGTCTTGTCGAACACCAGTCCTGCAGCCATGATACTGGCAAATTCGGCTCTAGTAGTGACAAGGCAATTAGAAATGCTAAATATATTCTTGGTAAGTGAGCAACGTCAAACCAATGGCCTAGAGTTGGTTGATCACTATTCATTATTAATAATGACATCCGATTGTAAAAGGGGTTTGAACAAGCAAATAAATATGCAATCCTTGATCCAGACGGTCATAATGTTGGATATATAGCAGAGCAACAAGCTTCATTCACAGCTCTGCTTCTCAGACAAGCATTTAGAACTCATCGCAGCTTTACAGCTGTTGTGATGGATGCAAACGGGAACGTAATCGTAAAGCTATGGCGACCGTTTGCATGGATAAACTCGCGTTTATTTGTCAGTACAGCGGAAGGTGAACCAATAGGAGAGGTGCAACAGCAGTGGCATCTCTGGCGAAGATGCTACAATCTATTTGTCAAGTAAGATATCATATTTAATATGTTAAGTTGGCTCTGAATATTTCTAATCTATTTGGTGAACCCCAACGCTATCACATCCTGAAAGACGACGACAATTCGCCAAGATAGATGGCGGTTTTTGGACTTGGAGTTTCACGTTAGAAGATGAGCGAAGCGGAGTGTTGGGAAAGGTTGATCGAAACTTTAGAGGATTTGGCCGGGAGATCTTCACAGATACAGGACAATATGTTATTCGAATGGACGCAGCTGAAGGACAAGTCAGGGGGATGACACTTGATGAGAGAGCAGTAACGTTGGCCGCTGCTGTTTCTATCGACTTTGACTACTTTTCTCGACATTCTGGTCATGGGTGAGTACAAGATTAAGCAAGGGAGATAAATACCTTTAGTCATTGAATTTTATCTTGGGTCTTATGCATGTATTTACTATCTTTTTAGGGGAATGTTTCCAATGGGCATTCCGTTCTTTGGTCAAGAGGATGAACTTCAGGAGAATTCTGCTGAAGCAGAAGAAAGTCAGCATGAAAATCCTGACGTAAAGGAGCTAGATGAATTTAACGAGACTAATAGCTGGTTTGGGACATGGGATGATGATGACGGTTTTGATGATTGACTGCTTGAATTTAGTATTCTTGAGGACGTTTCACTATTGCTATCAACGTTTTATTAATAGTTTAAATTATCTGTAATAGTAATTCCCTTTGTGGCGGTAATAACTTGCTGGACCGTTGTGCAATTTTCGAACATTCCAGAATAAACCACATTTTCATGCTAATACGGTTTTGTGTGGATCTCCGCATTTCAAATCAATATAAGGAAAATTAATTTTAATAAACACGGTTAACTCACATTCTTAAACAAACCACATTTTTATGCGCGTAGGCTCCATATAAGATTGCATGTTTTATGCGTGTTTTCGGTTCCGCCTTCAAATACCGACAACTATAAACATATCTAAAGACATTATTGCGATATTTTGCTCATTTGAAAATCAAAATCGTAAACACATACATAATACAGTCAAAGCTCGTTATAATAGAAAGTTGGGTCCAACCCATGGACTCCATTATAGCGCGAGTTCATTATAACGTCTATGATCCGTTATAATGGACTTATTAGTGCAATTCCATTATATCAAGATAGTACAAAATTTATATTATACAATTATACTATAAATTCACTTGTATTCCCTGCAAGTGAAAGACAGTCACAATCTTTATTGCACTCAACAAAAATAACAATTACATCAATCGTTACATGATATACAGTGTGTTACAAAAAAAACCGTAATTTTTCTTTTATAATATAAAAAGTATAACGGAATTAGATAAAAGTTTACAAATATATGTATTTTTATACAAGAAACAAATTTACTTACGGCAATTTAATGAGTT